TCGAGCACCTATATATAATGCACAGAACATATCTTGTGGTCTCGGGGACTACTTGTCCTCCCCCACTTGAGATGGTGAGAAATATCTCTTTATCTCCTTGCTCTCTGCGCTGAGTCGTGCGAATAGAAAGTGTGAAATTGTGATATATAAGCGTAGGAAAACGATTTCGAAGACGCGAGAGTGGCATCTTCTCGGTATAACAATAATAAAACATGTACGTCGGTTTTTAATCGGACGTTTTTTTTTCTTCACCGCTTTGACAAATAGCAGTAGTGCACAGTGTATGGCGAGCGAGTTATCGATGTCGCATTCGAATTGTGTGTACCTTTTATCGAAATCGCGTGTGAAATGATAATACGACTGGGTTTTCGAATTATATCTCTTGGCTGTAGCTGATGTGTGTATCGATGAACCTTGCGATAACCCGGAGCGGCGCGAGCGATTATTGAATAGCTGAATCATTTTTATTAGTCTAACGCGCCTTTTAAAGAGCAAACCCCGAGATGATGACACACGAGGCCATGTTATGAGCACTTTTTATCTTCGATATTTATACTAACGTTGATGCGAGAGGGCATTATCGCGAGGTCGGTTTGGGATTCTTAATTTAGGAAAAATCATCGCTGCGATGAGTCGTGAAAAAGAAATTCTTGCGCCGATCGTGAAATAATATAAAGGGTAAAGTGTATAGCTAAAAATATATCGCCCAAAACCTGCCTATTATACATCTCAAAGCATTTAGATTCATATCCGCGATTGCGATGCGTATTTTCGGGCGTTTTGGTAATATCTGCAGCGCAAAACAGCTTGATTTCTCGCCGCCTTCCAGTATACATTTGTAATTGTACAGTACCAACAGATGCTCATTTTGCGCATTGTTTGCGCTCACAGCTGGTGTATCGAAGGGATGTGATTTCGTCAGTGACCTGCGAGGTGACGTTGTGTTTATCATCGAATCGTTCCCGTATACAATATGTGAAACTGATCGAAAAAAGGGAAATGAATCAATAAATACACACTATTAGGTCAATAAACTGTATTATACATAGATTCGTGCATTACCTTGAAAATTCAACGAGAAGGAAAAAAGTATTCTTTGTTGCAAGCGCACGCATCTATATGCATAGGTAAACTACTGCGAGTGCACCTAGCGCGCGCGTGCACCGACCATAATTACAAACGAAAGCATGTATAATGTATATAGCCTCGTGCATAATTGCATATTTGTTATAGGCTCGTTGGCTTGGATACACACACACACACATACACGTCTCGTGGATTGATACGCAATTAGCGATCCGTGCTTCGCGTCTAATAGCAATTTAAACTCGAGATTTGCGTTATGTTTATCTTGTTCTTTTCTTTTTCTTTCAATTTCTAGATCGGCTCCAAGTTTTGTTTCGACTGGTTTGTTCGAAACGTTATTGTACATCGGCGTTTGTATTGCGCTTTGCGCTTTGGAAACGAACGAATCCGAGGGAATGAAGAAAGCGCGCGATGAATAATCAAAGGCGTCTATAATTAAAAAGAAAACCGAGGCTTGATTTAATCGAAATGGAAGGAAAAAAATGTATCTTCCTTGCGCGAGGCCTGTGATTATATATTTACTTTGACGAACGGCGACACACTTGAATCGGTAATGAGATTTGTCGAATCTCTCGCCCAAAATCCCACTTGAAAATGTGGAAGACTAGAATTCGAGGGCTCACGCACACACCGTGGCTAGCAGGTTGACAGCAAATTAAATCCCAATTGTATACAAAAGAATAATCACGAGAAATAATTTGTTTTTAGTTTTTTTTTCAAGTGTTCAATAGCTACGTGTATTAGCAAATCACAGCATGATAATCAAAAAAGACTCGAGTTTTTCTTGCGATTGATGGTACTCCACTTTAAAAGCCAAAATAATAATTGTTTGCTTAAAAAATAATTCGTCTAGTTTTTTTAATAGCAGGTGCTAAAATCAATAATTATTTTTTGATATTTCTTTCTCACCAAGTTTTAAAGGCGCGAATCAATGGGAAACGAAGCCACCGGTAGATGGAGCTGATTTTTTTGTTTACCTATGCTCGCTGTCTATCTATCTATCTATCTATTGTCAAAATATAAAACTTTGTGTTATGACAATGTAGTTACACACTAATGCCAATAAAAATCATACTAAATTGCTCGCTGTCTTTATGCGACTTCTTTGCTATACCCCAACTGCGTAAACGTTACGAGCAGTGTAAGATTGGATGCAGCACATAGACATATTTGAATTTCGATCAAAATATCTGTTAAACCAACCATAAACGATTTAATTAGTATTTTACTGGGCCGATATTTTAATTGTCGGTTTAAATCGTACTTTAGATAACAATTCGCAGAAGTGGAGTGTTAGTGGAGAATATGATTCATTCGAGTGACAATGATATGTTAATAGTGGGTATAAGTAGATTAAACTATTAAGAACTGCTCGATAAACTAAGCCTTTTGTGATTAAATAAAATGGATCCGACCAATAAATGTTTTTTTAATGAGAGATGAATTTTATTAATTAAGGAGGAACTAAAGACTGAGTAAGAATGAACATTTTTAATCAATTATTCCTCAATTTTCATTCATTATAAAAAAAACTACGAGATTGTTTAGAAAACAACGAAATGCAGACATTTACATAATTATTTTAAAATACATTCCATGGACAAGTTTGGAAAATATGATTAAATATTTAAGAAAACGTCATAACTTCCCTGGTAGAAATGCTCAAAATTAACTATATCCTAATGATACAAAAATTACCATTTAAACCGGATCAAATCGAAGTGCGTCAGACTCGGAATTATGATTATATTTTTTTTTTATCCTTATAAACCTTCTTTAGTCATAATAGACCGATTCAAAAGTACATCGACATCGAGCATCAACAATTTTATCTGCCCTTTCATTGGAATCATCGCGAAAAATTGAGATGTTCAAATTCAGTTAAGTACAAAAAAAAAAAAAAATGATCACCACAATTCCAATGAAACGTAAATTGGCATTCATTTTTCGTAATAAATCGAATAGTCTTGGAATAGGCATTTGCCGGCAAGTTACAGTAATTAAAATTTTCATCAATCATGAACTGTCTCGATGCAAGTTTGATTCGCAAAAACGTGCCGCATTTACTAACGATAAAATATTTAGTATGAAATCGACGCGCGTAGCTATAATAAATTTGAAATACGTAACTGTGCCCATGGTTGAAAAGAGGCAGGCGCCTGAAATAGTGTAAACAATGAGAGTATTATAACATTTTGTACAATAATAACGATTGATTTATCGAAGTTCCCGGATAGCTCAGTGGATAGAGCAATCGCCGGCTCTAGCAATCTAGTTTTTCTCATTTTCTAGATGCAATATTATTAAATGTTAAATACACTTAACTTTAAGAAATATAATTAAGAACTAATATCTAACTTCAACGCAGCGAGTGCCGATAAGGCCATTCTGCATATAACATTGATATGTATAATACTTTAAAAGCTCCTTTTATATATGTTTATTGCTTATATAAGAAAATGTATTATTGAGAAAAAAAAAGAAACATAGTCTCGTTAAAAAAAATATCAATCGCCGGCTAACGTCTAATTTTCGATGGTTCGAGCCTAGCCCGAGTCAAACTTTTCGGCCTGAAAATTCGGTTTTCAATTTTCGCAAGAAATCGAATGGTCGAATTGTGTCTCTAAAGAAATTCCATGACGTCAATCCTTCTGATTTTCCTGAAGATGGTCTGGTAGTTAGGTCATTGAGAATAACTCTGGTCAAGTTTTAGTAAATTCGGAAGGGATATTTCCCAGTACTGCAGCGAATATGGCCTAACTTGTACTAGCTAATGCTATCCGTCGATGATCGTGAAGAATAGTGGCACCAAATCCTATGTTATAAGATATAGGAACTTTTTTGCCTCCAAACTTAAAAAAGTACCAATCTGAGCCGGTGTTGAGCACGCGATTGTCTTACTGTTATTTTAATTGGACTACTTTGTTCGTATAAGAAGCATCATAACGTTCATGTATAACGTTGAGTATTATATATGCACTGTTTATTTGTGGTATACCTATAGATGAAAAATGTCTCTGTACTTTTTCTCCCCTTTTCATTTCAATTTCGACGCGCGAGCTCCGAGACATTATAGAATTTTTTACCGAAATAAATATTACCAGGTAGAGCTAGCTGAGCTACCGGAGTGTATACGTTAAATCGGCATCGAATATATAATTGCGTTTAGGTTCGTAAATCTTTCAGATTGCGATAACAGCTCGTTTGAATTTTTTGCCTATTTATCAAAAAAACTACTCCTGACGTCTGATCGTAAACAAACAGAGCGGACTTCAAGGGTTTTTGTAGCAGACAGTTGACAATTTGTTCTTGGCAATTGACAGCCAACGTTTTTGTTTTGAATTTATTATTGCCTAAATCGACTAATTAGTGAACGCTAGTAAAACTTATCCTAGAAATTAGCATCTAAATAGCAATAAAACGTAGAGCATTATGTGATATGGCCATAAACTATTCAAAAAAACTCTACTACAATACTTAAGTTACAATAGAATAGATAGTTTAGATAGCTCTAATATGTACCAGGAATTTTTTGTCGGACAAAATCTAGCCACAAAATGTTAAGCTATCTTACCAGGGTTTTAATGATTTTCATATCTTCTACTGTATAATTTTTAATGCATTAAACAATTTAATTTTACTCTTAATACAAAAAACATTGCAAAAAAGTGACTTGTTATGAATATTGATGCTTTTTTATAAAATCGATATTTTTCATTTAAATAAATGGCTTTGCCCTTGGCCAACATTACATTCCTATAACTACCCCTGGTTACAGATAACATCGTCTTCAGCCTTGCCGACACAGTTGCCACCTCTCCAGGTGCTGACGTTGCAGCGCGCACTCAGCCGCGGAACTTTTTATTTGGACGCAGTCTAAAAATAGGCACGTACACTTGTGCGTGCTGCTTTAAACTAAACAGAATGTGTTTAACGCCATGCGCGTTTGTCTCGATTCGCAATATTCTTTTTTTTTTCTTTTTTTGCACGCATTCTATCGTCGATAACGCAGAAGATAGTATCGGAATACGCCTAATCTTATCGAGCACGGCGAACGCATACTGCGACACACAGTTTTGCAAAGTTTTGCGCAACACGCCCTTTTCCTCGAAGCGTGTTTTACATGAACAAGCGTCGAAATAAAATGTGCTTTTCAAGGAAACATGTGTATGATGTACTTGAACGCGCGTGATGAGGTGTAATTCATAATCTAACGTGTTTGTGATAGCGGTCAGTTGTCTGCTTGACTTGGTTCGCGACAGTTCTCCGTCCACCTGATTAGGAAATCTCCACGCCAGTAGCGAGTGTTGAATAGTCGGCAGGACGAATTTTCATCAATTAAATCGTGAGTAATATTGTCAAGTAATAATCGTTAATAAGTTTCAAATATTTCAACTTTATTCCAGTACAGAAATTGAGACAGAAAAATGTCCGGCGAGGCGGCGCACATTCGCGAGCTGGAGTCGGTGCTGCGAAAGGGTCTGGGCAATCACGAGCTGCAGCTCGTCGAGTACAGCTGCAGGCCGCTGATGCCTCTCGGCGAGAACTACGCGAGCGTCGTGCTGAAGGTCGACGCGACGATTCGTCCCCGCGAGAACGCCAAAACCGAGTCGCTTCATCTGGTGGCCAAGACGGTCAACGCCACGGACAAGACTGTGGTCACCTGGTCGGAGCTGCTGCCCAAGGAGGTCTTCGCTTACAAGCGAGTCCTGCCGGCCTACAGGCAGCTCGAGCGCGAAGCGGGTGTGGCGGAGAGCGACTTGATCGACGTCGCGCCGGCTTACTACGGCTCGCGGATGTCGCTGGACCCGAGACAGCCCGATCTCGCGGACGACGACTCGCTGCTTCTCGTGGAAAATCTCTGCACGAGAGGATACTACAATTGCAACAAAGCCGAAGGTTACAAAGAGCTTTTTTTTCGACGTCAAGTCGCTTTTTTCGAACGAAATCATAAAATTACTTTTGATATATTCGCACGCACAGGCACCGACGCGGAGCACGCCGTCAAAGCTATGACGGAGTTGGCGAGATTCCACGCGATCGGCATAGCGATGAAACAAAAGAAGCCGGACTTGTTTCGAGAGATCGTCGAGCGGTCGCGCAAAGCCGGAATCGACTGGGGCCAGATGGACGAGGCCTATCGGATCTTGCTGGACGATTTCCGCACGCAGCTGCACGACGAGCTCAAGGCCAACCTAGCCGTGATCGAGGAACGCATAGCTTTCTCGATGGGTGGCAAGGCCTACAGCGAGGAACCCAGCGAGCCCTGGGCTACGATCTGCCACGGCGATTTCTGGCTCAACAACATGCTGTTCCACAAGGACGAGGCCACGGGCCAGGTCGACGCGGTCAAGTTCATCGACTATCAGATCTATCCGTACGCGAGTCCGCTCAAGGACGTGGCCTTCTTCGTCAACTCCTGCCTGAACGAGGAGGCGTACGAGCGCGACACCGACGAGATCGTCGACGCCTACTACAGCCAGTTCGTCAAGTGGCTGCAGCGGCTGAGATGCAACGTCGGGCCCTACACGCGGGACGCCTTCGACGAGGAGCTGAGACGGCAGGCCTTGAGGGAGTTTCCGCTGTGCGCCGTGGCGGTCAAGTTCTTCGACAAGTCGATCGCCAAGCCCAAGGGCGAGGCCCAGGAGACCAGTACCGATCTCATGCAGCGGATCATCGGCAGCAAGTTGAACGAGCGCTGCGTCGAGCGCATCCTGAGACTGTACCGATTCTACGTGAGCAAGGGATGGTTCAGACGATAGATAATAATGAGAGATAGCAGCAGTGACGATACAAGGTTATGAAAATTCCATTCGCGTGTGCATCACGACGCATTTATTAACAAAGAGAGGGAAATGTGTGTTTTTTTCTGTACGATGCGAATCGCAGCTACTACATACGCGCAACAATGTCGCGCGCAGGCATTATATAATCAACAATCTCGATGAGCTAAAGCGACGGCGACGGCATCGACGGCGTATTGCCAATTCTCAAAGTATTATTTTAGAGAAAAGATAAAGCGATGGTCGTAAACCGCCGCTCGTCGCAGCCAAGTTATTGTATTTATAAATTCAGATCAGATATGTATGTGTGTGACGCGCGCACACAGTGCGAATAAAACTTTTGTGCTCGTTGCTCGTTCGAGTAGTAAGGCGAGTTACATTGCTTGCTCGATCAGACGCGCAGGCAATTTTCTTGCATTACGCGACGAAAGCGCAGACGCTGCATTTATTAAATTTTTTTCATCGTTCCTTAACATTATCCCAACACTATAAGATTTATTACTCGATACATTTAATCGAGAAACGATAAGCAATAAAGTACATTTGTTAAAACGTCAAGACTTGTGCTCTATGATCGACGAGCGCGAGCTTCGAAATCTCTCGAGGTTATACGTAGTTATCTCTCGTCACTGCAGAGATGTATGACTCGTAACGAGCGAGCGGGGCGCGTTAAACGAGGAGCCCAGTGAGCAGTCGGCAATTATAACTCGTGCGTTTGAACTGACAGCGCGACGTGCCGCGCTATTGAAAGAGAGAGAGAGACGAACGAGCTATTTTATAACGCGTGCAAATCTGCATCGAGCGCGCTAGCCTTATCTCTCTGTCTCTCACTTTGCTCGCGACCTAGCAGCAGCTACGGCATTTTACATTTTATATAAAGTAATAATAATATCGAAGGCGGGAATTCGAGGCAATATCGAAGATCATGCAAGACTATGATAATATGTAATCATTTGCCTCGCGAGCGCGAGCTACATTATTGCAACTTCGCGGCTCACTGCTGCTGCTGCCGCTGCTCTTGCAGTTCCGTCGGGCACGTCGTCGTCGACTCGTAGATGTTACGTAAAACTGCGTCGTGTTCCCAATCAGTAGCAGTAAGTAGCTGCACAACAATCGTAGAGTGACAAAGGTACTGGCGAACAACAATGACCGGCGACTGCGGACGATTCGTCGAGTCGACGTTGACGAGGGATCAGCTGCCGAAACAAGCCCCGAAGCAGCAGCCGAAACAACAACAACAGCAACAACAAAGAATCGACGTTCGCTACCTCGAGTCGCTGCTCAGGCAGTGCCTCGACAGCGAGTCGCTCGTGCTGCTCGACCGGAAGATCTCGAGCCTCGTGCCGATCGACGAGAGCTACGGAAGTCTCGTGCTGCAGATCGAGGCCAAGGTGCGCAATTTCGACGAGAGCCAAAGCGAGACTGTGCTGCACCTCGTAGCCAAGACACTGAACAAGTCCGATCGGCCCTACTTCGACTTCGCCCGATGCATGAAGAAGGAGGCCTACGTGTATCACGAGCTCATGCCGGTCTATCGCCAATTGGAGCGCCAGATGGACGTGCCCGAGGACGAGCTGATCGATATACTGCCGCGCTATGTGGGCCATCGATTCAGCCTCGGGGATCGATTGAGCAGCGACCGAGTCGACGATGACGCCGTGCTGCTCATGGAGAACCTCTGCCTCAAGGGCTTCTACACGTGCGATCGAATTCTAGGTGAGCCGTTAGACGCGCAATAAAGCTTGTGGCACCATATACTGTATACATTTTTACGCGAGCTTTTAAATTTCGCAGGCATGGACAAAGCTCACGCCGGCAAAGCTTTGGAGGCGCTGGCGCGCTACCACGCGCTCGGCATCGCGTTGAAGCAGAGGCGGCCGGATTACTTCGAGTCGCGGGTCGTGGCGCACGCGCGCATCAACAGCCGCGACTACTCCCAGATAGACGAGGGTCTCGACAGTATTTTACGGATGTTCCACGACGCCGAGCTGGATTATCGGAGCCTACTGGAGCGCCAGTTGCCAACGATACTGGAACGCTTCGAGGCTTACCGGGGCGGAAAAACGAACGCGGCGAGGCCGAGGGAGCCCTGGGCCACCGTCACGCACGGCGACTTCTGGCTGAAAAACGTGCTCTACCGCAAAGACGATAAGGGCGCCATCAATGACGTGAAGCTGATCGATTACCAGGCCTATCTGTTCAATAGCCCGTTGAAAGATTTGCCGCACTTTCTCTACATGGGCTTGGACGATCGGGCGAGGGAGCGCGACTTCGACGCCCTCGTAGACCTCTATTACGACGAATTCTTGAAGAATTTGAAGAGGCTGGAGATCGACGCGAGTCCCTTTACGAGGCCGGCCTTCGACGAGGAGCTGAAGAGACAGGCGCTCGACGAGATGCCGATGATGATACTGGTCTTCAAGTTTTACGTGCACGACTTGAAGGGCAAATACGAGAACAGCTCGGAACTCATGCTCAATGTTTTTCGCAGCGACTGCTGCAGGAAGCCGGCCTTTCGCGAGCGGCTGCTGCACATCGTGCGCTTCTACGAGGATCGAGGTTGGCTGTGATGACGATGATGATGATGATGATATAATACTAGCCCGAAGTTCGGTGTACATAATATGTGTGAATTCATTTTTATACGGGGTTTCTCTCGGATTCGAGAAAAAAATAATTGAGCACGGCTACTTTTACATTTTTAACTTTTTTTTTTATATTTATTTACATGGTCATATATTCGATGTTATTATATATAATATTGATTTACTACATGAACAATTTGCTCACCGAGAAATTTTTTCTTATTTTTTTTTGTCTTTCATTGAACAAGCAAAAACTTATAACTCAATTTATATAATGTTCGTCGATATATATATTTTTTTCTCAGTGTTACAAAATATATATATATATTTATATTTATAATATAGATTCTCATCTTTTAACCTGTACATTTTTTCCAAAGTTTTTTTTCATTTATATCCGTCTACTTTGATTCGAGGCTGAATTACAATATATATTGGGATTTTTGCAGCTACGAAAAATCATAATAAAAAAAATTCACTTTTATACAAACAAATATATATACGCTATATACTTAATTGTATACAAAATATAATCGATACTTTTACAAAGCCATTTTTAAGTGGATAAATACGCGCACAATTTTATAAAAATTATGCCTGGCCACGATTTACGTTTTTTTACAGTTTCCTCTACGCTCCCGGGCTGACATTCGTCTCTCTAATAAATATATCCATCATAATATCCGTTCGTATTATCATTCGAATATCATGTAGCAATTCTTATTTCATCCTATGTGAATATACATATTTCCCTCAACTGAAACATCAAAGAGCTATATAATATTTGTATCATATGTGATCCTGTAATTTCATTTTTTTTGTATGTTTTTATTTTTCATAAATGTATATCAAGGGTACTTGGAAATATTTGTATGACGTACCCACCGATAAATTATGAAGCTACGCTTAATATTTATATTGTTTAAATATACATAGTACAGTTTCACGTACAACTATAACACTTGACTGTCCAAAAACTCAAATCTGCTGTAAAATTGTATTCTTTAAAATGTGATTTTGTTTTCATCCTTTGCGCATAGATTTATGATGGTCATTCACTGCGCATCTGTGATGTATTTCCCTCTTTTTGAAAATTCTCAAGTCAAGGATATAGTTTTTATGCATGTTATTAATTTATCCGTCCGGAACAGCACACTTAAAGCGATCGATAAAGAAAATTATCACCGAAAAAATCCAGAACATTTTATTTAAACTCAACAAGATCATTCGCTCAATCGTCCCACGATTCATTAACACTTTATAACTATAAAATTTTCCATAACGATTATAATAGTGGTTACAATTATTGATCAATCTCTTCTTAGGTTTTAAATGCTTTTTGTTGTTTGTGCACACATACGTTAGCGTACTTTGATTGCACTACATTTATAGACACATTACTTAAAGGATTTTTTTATTACCATTAGGCGTTTTGCTGTTAGCGAATTATTTGTATCGCAGTATGCTAAATACGTTACACGAGAGTAGTCCTTACGCTTACATTTAAAAATGATCCATTTCCGTGATAAAAACATAAGGACTAAACAGTTTGACATATTCGTAAAGCTGTTAGGAGTTTTATATGAATTAAAATAAAATGAATAGAAATTTACAACTATAGTTATAAGACATTCTGATAATATGTTCGAAAACGCACATGATTTTAGTAAATATTAATTAAAAATTCAACCAACTCGTTTCAAAATGTTATGAAAGATAAGTTTAATTAGGTAAAACATCATTAAAATTACAAACTGATACAACATTTTTACAATTAAAAAATAGATTAATAAATCAATCGGAACAAATTTTAAAAACCACAAGAAAAAATCTACATAACATGATTCAGTCGAAAATTCGATTAGGTGTTTAAAACATGAGAGACTATGCAACAATAGATGGATTCTTAATCTCAGTCCCCCGTGACTACTTCACTGATACATGTAGTATTTGTAAAGATCGTCTTCATCTACATTTTTAGATACTCATTAAGTATTCAATATTATCTTACAATCAAAAGTTCATTTCAATAATTAAGACGAGTTCAAGCGCATCCGAAATATTCCAGTCAAATCACGAGCTTAACGATATGAGGGAAACTTTTACACACAAAACTTCATAAAATTCAACATGCGTATCATTCATACACGAAAAACAATATACCATCCATAATATACCTAAAATGTGTATCTTTTGTTTAATATTAGCAATATTGTCGCTTGTTGATGTTGATAAACTGAAATTCCTCATACGCACATTCACAAATAATTTCATATTTTCATAGATATATAATATTTATATTCTTTTCCATATAGTTAACGTTCGCTAACGTCGCACACTATTTATATATAATACTTCAACAAAGAATATCTCGCTCAGTGATGTCTTTATTTATTTTACCCGTCCATGATAACACTTTTCAAATGTTTTTTTTTCAACTTTTTAATGCTCGTACGTTATATTTATTTGTTATTCATTAATGTAACCATTATGTTTAGCAATATGATATATTATCGATAATTATTATTAATATTGTATGACTTAACTAAGAGGAAAAAAATAAACATTAAAAATTAAAGCGAATAATGTACAACTGAACGGACGCCGATACCACTGTCTCTGCAGTACTTTGCATTCTCGTTTCGTAACCACACATATTACACGTTTTATAGAGCAAGAAAAAAAAGAAGATATCCGTGCAATCACTGTAAAGATTTTCATACAACTGAAACGGTTTCTTTCGTCTCCTTATTACTCTCTATCATCTAAAATGCAGCTGACGTGAAGAAACAACAAGGTCTTAGCATCCCTCGATGAAAGATGGTCCGATGCTCTGTATATATATATTGTATTAGGACGCGTTGCGAGTAAGAGGTAGATATAGCCACGGGCATTGAACATCTCTGATAATATATTGGATAACATTACAGAGTATTTACAAGAATCGGTGCTTTAATTCCTGAACTCGATTTACTTCCAGTTGAATTCCTGCAAAAATATTAACAGATTAAGTATTTGCCATCGTACAGTGATCATGAATATGATGAAATTAGGATAACAAAATTGTCGTGTTAGTTTGAATTCATATATGTACAAATTTGACCACTTTTTTTACAAACACGGTCAAATTTTGCCGTCAGCGTTTGTAAAGTTAATCACAATCGAAATTATTCGCTTACTTATTATTATTTTTTAAAAGGTGTTGCATACGGTTAGTCAGTGATTTTAGTATCGTGAGAGAGATAGATATAGATGTTATTGATAAGGCAAAAATTAGCCTATATATTTATATGTACATTAAATATCATTCGAACTCGACTACTTTCTATTATGCAGCAGCAATTTACAAGTGTTCAAAATTGTCATTCGAACGGTGCAGATACATGTTTATAAATAATATATGAAAACATGATATCGAAAAATCAAAATGAGATTCGAGTTGTTTTTTTTTTGTTGTTGCTTTGCTTTTGTGTTTTTTTTATACCTAGCCAGCTCACAGAGCACCGAACGGATCCAGTTGAACCTGGTTGTTCTGGGGCGGCTGCTGAGCCTGGGGTTGCTGCTGTATGGGCTGCTGCATCGGTACCTGGCCCGGCATCATCATCGGCGCGGTCGCTGGTGCCATGGGCCGGACACCCGCCGGCGCCTGAGGCATCCCCTGGGGCATTGCCTGCATCGGCATGCCTTGTATACCCTAGATATGTACAGATATACACCAACCAATCACCAATAGAAACTACTTTTTAAGCCTGACTTTTTTGTTCTTTTCAAGACCCTTGATTCATTTTTATTTTATGTAATATGTGAAAATTAAAGTTCGACAGAAGAGAAGACTTACGGATCTTACGTTGAATAAGTGAGAGTGTTTTCACGATTTTTTCGGAAAATTTTCGTGACAGAGAATCATCGTCTTTACATATTAATCAATCTGTATGTAAATTTATGTAAAAGCAAGCCAAGAATAACAATGCAATATATACTTCGTACGGAATTATAAAGAAGCTGTCTAATTTTAATATCAATGATTTAAGTCACGGAGAATGCAAACTTGATTTGATTTTTTTACAATTATTTTAGGTAATCAATCGCACCTGCAATCTCATGTGACCTATATAATAAATTAGCTAAAAATTTAATTATTGAATTAGTGCTCGTAGTTATAATGTTAGTGCTAATATGTAATAAAAGTGCAAGCGGCGCACAAGTTGAAAAATTAATATTTAAAAAAAAAGTACAACTTAATTTGATTTCAACTTGTCCGGCGCTTTCGATCGTGCAAATTCAGCGAATTATTAATTGAGCAGTATAAAAATAGGCTTCGGACGGGGCCAGGGAAGTGAACACATATAGTAAATATATATAGAGAGAAAGAAAAAAGGTTTCTCGTAGCGGGGAAATTGATAAAAACTCACCAGCGGTTGACTTGGGAAGCCCATAGTCGTGGCAGCGGGCATTTGCGTCATTCCTTGTCCCTGTAACAGCCGGTAACATGCCGTATGCTCTATGCATGCAAATATTCGCTAATTTTACACGTTACTGGAGATTGAATTTTTTTTCCTCCCCTCTTTCATCTTACTCAAATGAATTTTTCGTCGACTCACATTCGTATACATTCGTATAATATATTCGTATGATATGAAATCTCCAATAACGTGGTTGGAACGGAAATTATTTGGTATAGCGATTTGATAAAAAAATGCCAAGAAGCTCGTTAGAAAGGTCAGTATGTAACGGTAATATGTAAGTAACATTAATAACTTTTTAAAGGCCTGAACAAATGATAAAAAAATCTATATGAAAATATAGCAGCGAAAAATGTATAGCTATAATAAAAACCATCTAAAGACTAAGCAAAAATCCGCATCGTCTATCGGCTCCTTTCTAAAATACATATGGACATTGTGCATTATGCGATAATAAAAAATTTGAACATCAATATAATAATATTATATGAGAAAACGTGCTTTAAAAATTCTTGGCTTATTCAATCAAAGCTTGGTTATTATTAGTAACCTAAAGGCATTCGGCGCCCTTATACGAACGAAAACTCACCATAGGACGATAACCAGCTCCGGTCGTCGCGGCCATCGGTTGCGGAGTCCATCCACCGGCTGGTCCACCAGCTTTGGCGGTATTTTTTGGTGAGTTCCATTGCATGCCCCTTTAAAAAAGTCAATAACTCAATTGTTCTTGAAGAATCATCAACGTAAAAAAAAAGTCGCCTACTTGACTTGCTGTTGGGCGCTCTTGTTGATGGTCAGATTTTCAGCTAGACTGGCAAGGCTGCTGTCGAGGTCGCCGGTGAGGACCTTGCCCGGTGCGCCTGCCACGCCCCCGGCGTTATTGGCCAACTGACCAGCTACGGCTGAAACGTGACTAGCTGCAGACACGACTGAACTCAGGGGTATGAGGATCGGACCATAACCGTCAATACCTATTGTTTGTTTTTTAGCGATGGTTGTGGGTGTCGAGGAGATACATGTAACGTACAGTGCGGAAAAAGAAAAAAAGAAACGAAACAAGCGTGAAACCAATAAACTAAATCGTAAAATTGTGCAGAGGGGAGATTGTGAGGGGGTTTACAACGGGATCGAGATACAACATAAATATAATAATATATACATCATGTATGTGCAGAAAAACATAATACTATATCATACAAAAGCAAAATATTATAAGCACGCAGAGAGAGCTGAGCTGTCAAGTCGGTTGTTATGTTGTGCAGAGAAAGCCACACGTTAAAGCAAAGCCGTAAGCTTGTAAAAACCAAAAACTAAAAAGATAGAGAAAGCGTTCTAAAGCGATTTGTTCTGTGCTAGTGGTAGATAATCAACGAAACAAAAACAAAAATCTTAATCTGTCTCGTGGGTCATGCGTAGTTAATGGGGAGTTCACAGGAGGGTTTTAGGTAATTTTCTCTTTTTTGTTACACGCTAACGATTTTTTTTATCTCAGCGTCATTTTTTATAACGTATACAGTTAACGATTTTTATCTCGTTTTGGCACTCGCTGCGTTAGCTGCGTAGTTAAATGAATGAGTTTATTTTTACTGGTGACTCGTCATGCGGTCTACAATTTGATTTAGCAAATGCGTATTTTAATGGAAAAATGGATGATCATACGGTGCAATCCTTCAAAAGTAATCGTGTGTTCTATCATTTGAATGAGAGAGGTAACAAATTATATTGATAATTCAGTGGTAATAGTCGTCACTAATACGGTGCTAAGCTGGTCGGTTATCAATATTTTAAATTTCTCCTTTTTCATACTTTTTTTGGATCGGACGTTCATTTTCTTTTTTTGCGTTCGTCTTTCGTCGGAGCCAGTAAATAATATTGCTAATATAAAAAAAATTAGACGATAACATAAAATCACTTATTCCTATTTTATCATACCAAAGAAAAAATGTAACACGATAAGATAATCGATCTCTGTAGTTCGCCACAAATAGTTCTCATCTGGATAATTGAATGACAGTTTTCTGATGAATGAAAAGTTATGCTTGATTATGATAACGCTTATAAACTATTTTAAGCGAACTAAGCGCAAATTTCAATCGATATAGTTAATTCAACGTTGCTCTACAGCATGATATCATTATTTCGGCAGACAGTCGAATCCATTCTCTCGATAGATATAGATATTTGAAAATTTACTACAATATAAAGACTCATGCAACAATATTACGAATGAAAGAAAAAAAACTTATTGCGCGTCTCGAGTGTTTTGTGACTCGTTAATGAAATTTCGTAAATAGAGATTTTTGAGTAATACACAAAAATTAGTTCATGAACAAAGATAATTTAAGAATATATATATCAGCTTAATCGACAACAGCAATAACTACCCACAAAATTATAATCTCACTCTCACGACAATCGCACTCTAGAACGAATTGTCACATTTTATATAGTAATTAAAAAAGAACAGATAAAATCGAGAAACGATCGTATACTGAATATTGGAAAGAAAGTTTAGCAAAATGAACAACTTATCAACGTAAACGATATGTAATGAAAGTAATATGTAAAAATTCCAACGCAATTCGTTGAATGAAAATTGAAAAAAAAAATATTAAAAAATTAAAAAGTTTCTTTGAAAAAAAATGAAATATTAACAAGCTTGACGTCTGATTTCTCTGATTGCTTAAAGCGGGGATAGTCCCATCACCTGGCATCGGCTGCTTAGCCGGGGATCCGTATCCCATGGGAGGTTGGGCTTGGGAGGGAGCAACTCCGTAACCAAAGGGCATCATCATCGGTTGCTGATGCTGCATCATATCGTCAAAAGCTGCGAATGTCTGCTGCTGCTGCTGCAGCTGTTGTATCGTTGCTCCCACTGCTGTTTGCTGTTGTTGCTGCTGCGTCTGTGGCTGTTGTTGCTGTTGCTGCTGCTGTTGTTGTTGTGCTATCGGTGTTGCTCGCTGAGGAGACCCGCCCAGTGCCGCCAATATGGTATCGTTGAGATCGTCCAGTGCCGATTTGGGAGGTGCAGGAGAAACCGTGCGAGGAGTGGAACCGGGTGGTGGCGGTCTAGGGGGCGGCGCAGCAGTGACCGTGGCCACGGCGAGCTTAGGCACGTCCTCGGGCAATGCCGCGTCGGCTCCGAAGAGATCGGCCACCACCGGCACCGGGTTAGTCGTGGTATTATCGGCACTGAACAGGTCTCCAGTCGCTGACGCTGCTCCACCGAGCTCGTCCACGTGAGGGATCTGTTGTTGCGGTGGCTGTGGCGATGGCTGTGCCCGAAGATGTGCTGGATGTGGCTGTTGTGGTCGCGCTGGCGGATGTTGATGGTGATTTTGTTGCTGTTGTTGTTGTTGTTCGTGAAAGGCCGAGACAGCTTGGGGGACCGAGGGTGGTGGCGGAAAATCGGAAGCGAAAGGATTCGGTACGATGCCAGCTCCTGGGACAGCAGCTTGCGAATAAAATTGACCATTGTGCACATTTCACGTTTTTTTTTGGTTGATTTTTCATCATCGTCGTCATCGTCATAATCATCATCACCATCGTATCATCATCATTAAGAATAAAAAGAGTAAACGCAGATTCCGATTTTTTTTCATGGTTATTGTGACGGCGAGTAATCGTTGTATCGCGATGACGTATGGAATTCGATGTGTATTTGTAACGTTGATGAGTACCAATAGAGAAAAATATTGAGCGTTTTGTGGCGAAACAACCAGTACCACAGGCGCAAGGATGAAAAGGAGGGAGAAAAAAAGACAAAGAAAAAACGTTAGTTTGTTACCAGTTTGTACCCCGCGTGAACGACATATAGTTGTGTGTTAAAGAATCAAAAAACTTTTCACTAAATGATCATTAAATTTGTATAATTTGGTATAAAAAATGTCGAACTTGACGATGTTTAGAATAAGTGATTTCATCGCGTTCAATCGATGCTTTAATAAATGTGCTATCGAAAATCGATCGGCCAAAGTTTTTATGACAATTATACATTCGGATTGATTACATTTAAATATGAATATAAAACCAGTCATGCAACTAAAATAATATTAGTGAAAAGTTCTCTGGATGAAAAGTATATAAAAGAACAGTGGGTGCAGTTCAAGAATGTACAGATACAAGCAAACTATGGACTACACTAAATGCCAAAACCACATACGGCTGTTATGAACTAAGAAAAAATTTGATTTGCAACATGTATAGCATTTCCATGTTTTGCATGTACCTGCGCGAACGTGTGATATAGGGCAGTGGTGAGAGAAAAAATAAAACCAATAACCAGACTATAAATACAAGTAATGGAGAATTAGTTTGTTTGCAGGTTTGTAAATTCATTTCCCCAAATGAGTTAATCATGTAAAAAAATCCCTTGTATGAAAAATCATAATAATTGTATATAGGCTGAGCATTAAATTGAACACAACTAAAATCTTGCTATAGGGTGTATAAATTATAAAAGAAAGAAGTAGAGAAAAACCAGATACATCGCCAAATGACATGATTCTTTCAAAAGACGACTTACCCGCTTGCTGGTCTTGATTTCCAAAGACCGAAGTGAAGTTATTATCTGTAACAAAGTTATTAGTAGCTGGTGGTACCGTGGCGAAACCTACAAAATCGAAAATGACGTGTGCATGATCAAACTAAAAGTATGAGAAACTTAACAATAATAAAAATCAATCCAAAGCAGCATCAGTTCGTTTTTTGTATCTAAAATTAACAGTGAACTGATGCAGCTTTGTTTTTCAAAAAACTGTGAAGTGATGAATAAACCAAATAAAAAATGAAATGATTTCCTGTATTTACCATTACCATTGGTCATCCACATATTGTTCTGCACTGGGACGGGTTGTGCTGTAACCGCCTGCGGTGCTGGAGCACCAAACATGTCAGCGAACGGATTTCCAGCCAACTGTAATAAGTCATCCGATGCTTTCTGTTAATTCATTCAACGATATTTCATTACAAAAAAATCAAAATAAACGGCAACGTATTATGAAAATCATAATAAACCAAGATTCTCGAATTTTTCACCTGATCCGGAGCAGGTGCTCCGCCACCAAAAAGATCAACAATGGGCTGAGCGGTGGTTGGAGAGCTCATCAAAAATGGATTCGTGCTGGGTCCACCCGTTGGAGACTGAACTTTGGCCTGAATTAAAGAGACATTTTTATATACACCTTTTTCTCTTATTAAAACGGAGCGAATTAATAAATTAACACGAACCTTGTACTGGTTCATAGCTGCTTCCTCTTCTGCAAGGACCTGTTGCCTCAGAGCCTCGTCTATGTGGCCGTTGCCTGTGCTCTCGAGCCGTTGGTTGCTAGCAGCCGTTCCAAAAGCGGTACTGGTGGAAGATAGGGCGGACACTCCGGACTTAACATTTGTTCTATTGCTGCTTTGGATGTTTTGTTTGGGGAATTCGAAGTGATAGAGAGAGAAGAGAGATGGGCGGACCAAATGATTATGTTATACAATGAAAATGGAGATGATTTTGATACCGTGGTAGGAAATTGGCGTTTGTCGTGACCAAAAAAAAAGGGGAAGACAAAAAAGAAAAACTGTGTAGTAAATATAACTGTTGTTTATGTATCAAGTGTTAGTGATTAGTTCATTCAGTTCAATTATTTAGCTCTTTCAACAGTCTACGAATCAAGTCGTTATGTATCGTGATCTAATTCTAATAATATGTGTGTTAGTAAAAGTGTGTTTTTCAAGATCAATGTGAAAGACGTAAAAAAAATCTTTCACTATTTTTTGCTTCATCACAAATCGAATTTATGATGAACTAGTCACAAAATGCATTTTCCAGTTTGTAATTAGCACACGAAGTAATTACTTATTTAACTCACAAGTACATTATCTCGGTGTATAATTTTACATCAACTCACATGCGTTAATCATGTACATTATTAATAACGTGTAATGCTTCGAAATAAATAATTAATATAAAATTAGTAGCAACGGTGCAAAATAAATTTCAAGCAATGCATCGATTATTCATAGGACAAAGTTCAGGTGGATTACGACAATCATATTTTTCATTTATGTATAAACATTCTCCTACGAGTTCAAACAAGTTTTAATCACACGTACGCAATACTACAAGTTAATAAATGAAATAATAGTTTCTTTTTACAAAAAAAAGATGTGTAAATAACTAAAACAAGTGTAAAAAAACTACTAAAAACTCTAAATAATTTATATATTATTCTGAAAAAATTTCCAAGAAAATTGTACTGTAATAAAAACTGATTGGTTTGAAGTTTATACAGTGTTTTGTATTGTTAAAAACAAAAATAAAATGATAATAAATGATACATAATGAATGTCGTTAGGTTTAGGTACAAATGAAATGACCAACGTGAGGAATGCTTTCGGAAAAAATATGGTTAAGAGGATTATGTTGAAAGAATGTACGTTCCTGAATTTATTTGCAATATTGATTTTTCAAATATTTCTTTTAAAAGCAATCCCATTTGAAAAAACCATTCAATTATGTTCATTAAAAGTATTTGGGTAAAGCAAACTTAATCCACGTACATGCCAAATTATAAATACCCAGTTATCATATCACCGAAACATGAAGATTTGTTGAAAAGATTTATAAATGGCAGTAATCCAACATTCAATTATTCGAGACATCTATCACATTCAAGAATAGCAGTGGGAAGAGAAAAATTATCGGAACCGGGTTTCCATTATTTTCATCAGCATTATTAGAATTGTGAAAAATGTTAGTCAATATAAGATGTTAATCAAACTATCTTCCCACTGACGCTCAATAAATTAATTCAGCGTATATACCTTGCCGATTGAGTTGGCGTGTTGGCTAAAGAACCTTTTCGACCTTCCAATGAAGCAAGATGTTGTTCCAGAGCATCTAGTAAACTACTGGGGGCCTGCAAAAAAATTAAAATGAATTAATATTTAATAATCAAAGCCGATCGTGAGTAAGTTAACTCAGTAATTACTATACCTTTGTAAGATCTGGAATGTCTCCTTTGTCGATACCAACGTTCTGTGAAATGAAAATTCAATTTAAAACTCATGAATTTTAATCATGAAAATTTCATAAATCATACTGACCTCTGCAACTTTCAGAAATTCTCCAACTTTGTCCATTCTGATGAGGAATTTTTTGTATAAATCTAAAGCATCTCGGCATTGTTTCTTGTTCATATCAAAGTATTTTTCTGGAAAGAATCAGGAATTAAAAATTACAAGCTATTTTTTAAAAGGATATTTTACAATTTTAAAAGAAAATTGCGTACGTACCTAATAAATTAATAATTCCATCGTTATAACAGGCGAATAATCGGATGAGATCTCGGAAGAGCAACATGAATGTCATATTGATAACACCATTAGTAAGATCGTTGGACGAGCAGTCGAATTCGAGCAGCGAATCGAGTTGAGCCTGTAGCACCGGCAACGTTTTCAACAATTTTTCGGCGTTCATTGTGCGCAGAGTACCATCCTCTTTCCTGAAATAGATTTAGGAATTATTACTTATTCATCATCGCTTATTGATAAATCATATATTTTGTAGAAGAAACTCACCCTCTTTTCACTTTGCAAAAATCGAATGCAACTGTTCGGTAAGATAGAGCTTTCTCGTTCAAATATTTCGCGTACCTCCTGATGAAAGGTGACATGTCATAGCCTATGAAAAAATATCCGAATTAGTTTCGTAATGGACTAATAATTATTCAACACAATGGAAAAGTGCGTTTTTAAACCACATTCAGTTCAAAACAACTCAAACGATTATTACTACTACCTACTTGCTATAATTAAATCTACTAAAATTATACCTAAGCAAAATACAATAGAAAACAATAATTCTCATGCGAGGTTGTTAAAATTAGTAAAGGATTCAAACGGGTCTTTAGCACTTACCAATGCGCGCTCCTGGTCCACCAGCTTTACCAAAAGAGAAAGTTTTCATGTTAGTTTATTTTCCAAGAAATAGCCCAAATGATAGATCTAACAGCATCATGAAGATGCTCGAAATGTACACCCATGTACTTGCGGCAAAGTTGCCACATATGGTATTAGAGGAGCAATTAGTCGATTGAAATAAGAATATTATTTGGTTAGTGATGCTCAAACTGTTAGTTGAATCAAAGTTCATGCCATTAATATTCGTGCAGTTTGTGTACAAGCCATACATCATAAGTTTAATCGCGAGCATGTATTTATGCAAAACTTTCAGGTCAATAAACGTAAACATTTATTTTGTTTTAATTAAAAACACAGTTGCGTCATGACATATCTCATGAAACAGAGTTAGTCGTTATTAATAATTACTCTTATTGAAGGTACTGCAGCGGAATCAAAATAAACATTTTCAAACAAGTGTTTTATGAGATTTCCACGTAGCTTTGTAAAAAAGTATTCAGTGGAAATCTCACAAAAGGTGTTTCATTTTAGCCTAGCTTCGGTATTTCCTTAATCAAAGAACATCGACGTACACTCGCTTATTTTTTTTTTTTTTTTAAATGTGTCAATTATTAATCCATACAGAGTACTTCATCTCTACTTTTATTAAATTAAAAGTTGTTAGATACATTAATTTAAGTAATTATTTTATAAATGACAAATACTTTTCAATAACCAGTTAATTAGTTTTATTCAATCATTGATGGAGTGATCTTTCCCATTTTCTCGCATTTTTATAATAGACTTAAAAAAAATTAAAAATGTCAAGAGGAAAATTTACCTTGCACGCCGCTTTTGTCCAGAAAATTACTGAGTTGAAACGTACTGTTGCTCGAAGCGAGGTACTGTGTAAATCGCTGTAAAATAAAGAAAAATTCACTTAACTCTGGTTCTTGATGAAAAGAGTTGATATGTAAAGTAAGTATACGTTTATAAAGTGCTACTTGATTTTCAACTCGGTAATTAGGTTTATAATTAAAGTTTCGAAGCAGTCAATCATTTTGACAGTATTTTAAATTAAAAATGAACTCTGTATTGTTATTGTTTCTATACTATGATGCCTTACAAAACAATTGGCAAAAGATTCCTAACGCTCGGCGTGTAACAAAGAGTAAATATTGACCATTAGGCAGTTTCAAATGCATAGGTGGCAAAAATGTGTCGTCGACGCGTGCTCTATTTTTAAAACCTTTACTCGAAATTCAATGTCAAGTTTACGAAGTAGCGTCAAATTAAACTATACACGCATCGTCTTTCGTAAAACTCGAGTATGCGCGCATATCTGACGACCGTGAAACGGTAGAAGGAAGCTTTTTTTGTCGCTTTTATCGAGTTTAATAACCTCGAGCGATCATATCGGAAGAGGAAGTTGTTTTGAATGAAAAAAAAAAAAAGAAGGAGAGAAAGAAAGAAAGAGGAACTAGAATGTATATACTCACTTCATTCCCGTAACACATAAGGTGATGCGCTGTGATGAGTGCTTTGAAGACCACCGTCCAGTTTGTATTTTGCGACCGCTCGATTAGCAAATTTGCAAGTTGTGGAATCGACACGTTCGGCTCGTTCGTACAGTGTACCAAATCTGTAACAGGAAGAGAGATTGCTTAGTAATGTCAAAAAATCTTGAAAAACACAATGCAACGGAAAATAATGGGCCAATTTTTGTTTTTTCGAGATAAAACAATGTCACGCGACTTTCATCGAATATAATTGAATCTCGAAAACTCGTTTATACACGTTCACATGTAAAACGACAAAAAAAAGATTTCCTTTCCTCTCTATGACGGCCCTTCTATTCTGCGCGAAGTTTACAAAGTCCATTTCTGTGTAATATCATTTTTTCGTCCAAAGAGCCCGTAGTTTCATAATCTCTCTAGCTCGACTCGACTCCGAGTGGTCTAAATTGATAGTGGATAAAAAAGAGGATGTGCAGCAGCTTGGCTGAAATCACCTTCTATTTTTCATTTTTAATTACTATACCTCGAGCTAATAGGTCGACTCGTTTAATTAGAACTTTTTACTCCAAAGGTAGAAACTACTTATTTTAAAATTATTTCAAAATGATTGATAGATCATTTGATGTGGATAAATCAGTTAACCGCTAACCACAACGCTTGCATTTTCCCTTTCAACGAGCCAATATAATAGAAAATAGCAATTCAATCAAAGCGGCGTGGTCGTCCTGTTTGCTCGCGCTTACATTAAAAAATATGAAAAATGTCAACGCGCGACGGTAACCGCAGAGTTTAATACCTCACCGATAATAAGCCGAGGGATTTCCCTTCAAAAAACGAACGTTTATCATGGCAAGAGCGCACTTTCGAACAACGAATGTTAAGTCGAAGATTCTCAATATTTATCGCGATCTTGAGATAAAAAATGGACGGATCATTTTGCACGATTGAACACACCTCGAGCGAAAGTAATTTCACTTTGGGTCCCACCGTTATTATTTGCGTTTCTGCCGCGTACGTGTTTCAACCTTGACCTCCACCCGTGGCGATGCGTCAGTTACATAACAAAGTACATACTCATCGTGATTCCTCGTCAAGGTATAATAATATAAACTATCTGCACGCGTGCGCATACGTGGTAGGATTCATAACAAAGTTTTGATTGCCTTCCATACGCAAAGCGCTAAATCACACTGGAAGGAATTTCTAAGTTAATATAATATCGATCATCGACAGCTGTATTATGCATACAGTCCATTAAAAATTATTTATACGCATAGCATAGGCGCCTCGGTATTAAATTGCGATATCGCTCGCGACACTTCGGATCGGAGAAAACGATATCGTTCACACCTGAGAAAGCATGTAACAATGGTGTATCGACGTCAATGCTGCACAAAGCTCGACTTTTACCCCTTCTAACATCGGCTCGTGTACGCACGCGATGCATGGACGTGGAGCCATGACTGCAACGCGCACACACATACCTATACTATATAAACCTATCGGTGCGACACACGCGTAGCTGCACGTCGACCACGCCTGAATTTGCGATCTATTGCGCTCGCATACACACACACACACACACTTACACAGAGACGCAGGCAGTCCTGTACTTTGTCGCGAGTCACTTTCACGACGTCGTGTTATCGACGTCTCGTTGCAGCAGGCGCTTACGTAAATGATGTTTGTCTTATATGTAATCAATTACGCTTTCTATATGTCCATCGGAAAGGAGAAGAAGAAAAAATATGCGACAACTACATTGCGCCGTGGTTTGTTATCGTTTCGCTACGATGAGCTCTCTGATAATGGGTATTCTCGATTTAGTCATTGGAAATTACGCCCACGCGCCTGTATGTAGGCGAGTCGAACCTTACACCCACCGAAGCTTGGATCATAATTACGCAACGTTATAATGCGTACATTTAGTCACGGACCGGAGGGTACTAATTCGAAAAAAGCTCGATTTAATTTAATTTTGCCGTACATGCAAGTCTGTGCCAGTGACAAGTCGGATGAAAATTGAATTTTAATATAAAAGCATCAGCTGCACGATCTCCCCCGTATGGCAGAGCAGGCAACTTCTATATATAATACAATATATAATACGTATCGCAGGGGCAGCGATCCTTGTGACCTGCTTACCGACGCATTCCACGTCTCTCGGTCAATTTTTAATTTGGCATTCGAGTTTTTCGAGCGAAATATTATAGCGCGATACTTTTCTAATAGATTCATACATACATACGCCATTAAAATGTTATGCAGTTCCATCGAATCCCATACGTATAGCTCTGCCTCTGTGATACTTCCAAAATGACGTATTCCACGCACGTAGTAAGTACGTGTAGACGCGAGTGTTTGTACATGGATCATAGCCACAATACGCAGATGAAAAATGAAATTGCTTGGGCGATTCAAATGCATAACGTATAACGAACGCAGGCACACCAGCGGCGATAATGTTGTTCGATACACGACCCCGCGCTCGCGCGCTGGTTTAGCCATTTTCAACGATTATAATTGCTGCTGCTGCTGCTGCAGCGCAACGCTTCGAGACGGGACAACGATTTTTTAAATTAAATTCATAATATTAATTTAATTCCAGCGTTATAACTCAATTTCTGTGCAAAATATATTTCAAGGTGAGTGCAGCTGAACTGAATCGCTCGAGGGAGAGAAGGGAGCGAGAGAAGAATAGAGAGATCGCGTGTATAACGAGCGGGAGAAATTGCTTATGGTTTCATCAAAAGCTTCTCTATGCAGATAATACGATCAAGCGCGCAGAGCTAACGCGTGCTCCGCAATTCTCCGTGTTCATTAATCGAGATATGCTCGCGCACCAGCTACAGCAGCAGCACTCAGCAGCGGTACTAGTTCGCGCAAGACGTCGACGTGCACGTCATCGAGAGGAAAATCGTTCGTGCTGCATGCATATGAGCAACTCTGTAAATTATTGAAAAAATTCGAGGCTAAAATAGTGATTGTGCGTCGGTCCTAAAAGCCTGAGGAAATGTATGAACTATAACAATTTTGATGGGTATTTTTCTGTTACTATTTTTATGTCGTATAGAGGACCAAAAATTTCGCTTTCACGTAAATGCGACCACTTACTTCATTTCGTCGAGTTTTTGTCGATGACTTGTAGAATTACTAAAATATACTCGAATTGAAACGCAGAACGAGCACCTTTTGGAGTATTATTTTCAAAACTTATCGGCAGAATTTATAAGATACGTAGAACAAAGAGACACAACTCACAGGCCCCATAACAACGTATAATTCTAGTTGATGGTAGAAGGGGAAATTTTTGCCAGACAACCATTGCAATCGCTGCATAACCTCGCTAATATACGTCCGATGTGATCACTCGCTATTACAGTATTCTACGTCGAACAAGTGTATACCATTTATTCCTCTTGCAGATTAGTTCTTGATATTTAAAATTCGTTTTAAATCTTCAAGTTTGTATAATACTTAAAATCGAGGCGCAATATACAGTGGTAAGTATTTGAGGCGTTTAACCTCAAATATTTTCTCGATGTATATCGTGAAAATTTTCAGTGAATACCTCCAATCGAAGAGGTTATGGAAAGCACCAGTGACGTAGTAAGGTGAGACTTTTTGCGTTCGTTTTACTGCCATTATAATTTTTTGAGCGATCCCCTATTAAATTTGAATTATTATTCAGGGTGAAGAAAGAGCCAAGCGATACTTCGCTGGCTGCAATTGACAATTACGTTTATGATTTGGTGGACTCTTGCAAAGCCGAAAACGTTGAAACATTGCCGTTTCAGGAATTATCGGTGAGTTCAAAGATTTGAATTATGTTTTAATTTTTCACTATCGAAAACGACAACACATTTTCATGTTAGACAAATTACATGAATGATGTTATGTCGTTACAGGAAAAGTTATATGAAAAAGTAGCCGTTGATTTTGAGTGTGAGTATGCAAAACCTGAACTGAATCTGAGTATCACAAGTTATGAAAATAGAAATCGAAAATCAGGCTGACAATAAGCATGAGCTAATATTCATAGATTTTGAATGCAGTGATGTTAAGCCTAAGTGGAAATCTCTATCGGACACCATCTGCAAAACTGAGTATCAAAATTATCTACCAGTTAAGAAATTAGAAAACGGAAATCAGATCAGTAATATGAATGAAATTGATTTAGCAGTGCATATGTCACAAATCGTTTGGATACCAGCAAAACTTAAAAAACACAAATACAGTACATTTTCGAAGTAAACCCTTCGAATGTGAGATTTGTCACAAATAATTTGGACGCAAGGATCACTTTAAATCTCACTTAAACGCAGTACATTATCTAAGCAAACCTTTTGACTGTGACATTTGTCACAAATCATTTGGACGAAAAGGTGACCTCAGCTTACACATAAATGCAGTACATAATCGAAGCAAACCTTTCGAGTGTGAGATTTGTCACAAATCTTTTGGCCGCAAGGATAGACTCAAAACTCACATAATGACAGTACACAACCTAAACAAATCCTTCGAATGAGATTTGTTATAAACCACGTGAACTTGAGTGATTAGCATTTACATAAGTATTATAACAGTTAAAAATTTTCGCCATGAATGTATTGTAATTTTCTGAAGAAACTTGGAGTGTTTTAAACTATTTTCACTTCCACCATCACTGAGAAAAGCTTTGTACCATCTTTTCTGCCTAAACTAATATATTTAAAAACATATCTTAAATGGAATTTTGATTATTAAAAACTTGTTCTAATTCCCAAATACCTGAAGTGGCTTCAAAAATATTGAAAAAATTCACCTTCGTTCTCTAAATGAATATTCAACACTCGTTACATAACACAATAATTTTTCGTCGTATGAAAGTTATAATAGTTGTCAAATAAAAATTAACCGAATTCGCTCATTCATTCACTAAAAATCAGAACGCTTCATGTATAACGAAATTAGACGAAGCGAAGTGAAAGGCAGCGACAGCAATGACAGAATAGTACTTTACTATACAAGTGCCATAAGTAACACTTTTTTGGCACGGCGAAGTTTACTCGCTGCGCTCGGGCCCTAATAGCTGTGCCGAAAAGTGTCCCCATGGCACGAGTATCGTACAACATTTTATAGCATG